TTTTTTTCTTTTCTCATAATTTTTCCTTTCCCTTCTTTCCTTTCCCCTTCCCCTCCCACCACCCCTACACCTTCGGACCTTTTCCTATTTCAAGGTGTAGTTATTTTGAGTCTAAAGTTGATCCTAATCTACTTTTCTTTCCCTTTAAATTGTCTCATTTTAAAATTTCCTTACTGCCTCCATCTTGAGAGAAGAACAATTTCAACAAAGCCTGAGAACCTCTCTTCAAATCACAAAGCAAAGAAGTATGGCCTGAAATGCCCCTCCAATTGCTGTTTCCTGGGGAGAGTCCGCGTCACTGCTGACACCATGGGTGTCCGCAGGAACAGACTGGCAGCTCTGTGCTGAGGCTGTTTCCTGTTACTTATCTGTATCTCTGCTCACTCGGGTTGTGTATCTGGACTCTAAGTCAATTTAAAGGGTGTATGTGATAGCTATTCACAAAGTTTTTAAAAATTTGACTTGGCAGAAGTTCTGGCTGAACAAAGAATATTTAATCCACAAAGTATCCTTCAGAGGACAAAGTATAGAATTTCCTATGCCTCTAAGCTAAAACTAAGAACTGAGCCAAGAATATAACATTTTACCACTCTTCTTAGATTACCCAATTACCACAAATGAGTTTTTAGTACAGAATCAGGGCAAAATTTTAAGTATAAGCCTTTAAATATAATTTACAGTTTAGATAAATTTCTGGGTAAGGTTAAACTATGACCTGATTAGTCCATAAAAATTAAATACAATTTTCTAATAATTTTCCATTCAACATATATTTATTAAGCTCCTACACTAAGGGTTAGTGGAGGGCAGGGGACCCAGGCTAGAAGAGAAGACAGACATGGCAGCAAATTCCACAACTAAGGTAGAAGATACAAAGTCTTTGTGGTGCCTCCAACAGGTCCATAAATGGAAGCGCACCTATAAAGCCAGAGTTTTTCTTGGGCCCACAGAAACAGAATCTAATCAGTGATTGAAAAGTTTATTTTAGTGCACATAAAGACCACTTGGGCGAGCCTGTTAAAATGCAGATTCTTGGGTCCAACCTTCAAAGATGCTGACTCAGAAGGCACAAGAATTGGCAGAGGAATCTATACCTCTAATAACCACCTCTGAGGCCTCTCCTACAGATAGCTGGGCCTGCCCTTCTGAGAGATTTGGATGAGGCTGTAGTGTGGGCTGTGTGAACAGGGGAACACTAGAAAGCAAGGTGCACAGAGACAAAAGGTGTGGTTCTACAGTCAGCACTGTCCAAATTAGAGGAAATTCCTGATTCATATTTTAGCTTTTTGGGAAAGAGCAGGGAAGTTGACTATTCTAATCACTAAAATGTGATTATCCTATTTAAAGTTAAAAACTTAAGTTTCATACAGCAGTCTAGCATGATATGTGGAAGCATCTCTTCATCATCAAGACCACTCTAGGTTTAATCACTAAGTCCAGAGTACCACTGGAACACGTAGACTCAACTGGGGGCCATCATGTAAAACTGCCCAGAGGCTAGTCACCCCCCCACCCCCCCATGACACCCATTAGTGCACTTTCTCATCAGGCTGGACAGAAGGCAGGCATGGAGCCTGAGTCAGGCACGGCAGCATAGGAGGAGGATAATAACAGCCAACATTACTGTTTGTTCACTATGTGCTAGGTGCTTCACACAAATGGTCTCATATTAACCTATTATGGGTGGGCACTGTTAACATGGCCAAGATCTTATTGCTAGTTCTAGAACTAGAACTCTGGTCTGGTTATCTTCAGAGTGGCCATGTCCCTAACTGATTTGCTGTACCCAGAGGGACTGAGACAATTGAAGTAAGATGGAAGGGATGCCCCAGTGAAAAGACAAATGGAGGAGCAAGAAGAGGAACGGGGAAGGGGTTGGGAAGAGAGGAGGATGTGTGTGGCAGGGAAAGGCACAGTCTGGCTACAGCACAAGATGGACAGGATGGGAGATAAGACAGGGTAGAGAGGTGGGCTGGGAACTTGGCATGAGGTGGGGAGTCAAAGATCTGGGTCACAGCTAAGCTTTCCAGGCAGCAGATATGAGATGGACTGAAAAAAGAAAGCATCAAAGCAGGGAGACTACGTAGAAAATCAATAAAATAGGTCAGACAAGAAGGAACAAAGTAGGGTTATTAACAGTGAGGACAGAAAATAAGAGGCAAGGGCTGGGGATTTAGCTCAGTGGTGCTGCTGCCTGCCTTGCAACCGCAGGGTTCTGAGTTCGATCCCCAGTACCAAAAAAAAGAAGAGGCAGATTTGAGACACATTGCAGGGATAGGATGAGCAGGACGTGGCTACACTGTGGGTGTGAGGGGCAGGGGAACAAGGGTAATTAAATGTAACTCTCTGGAATTATGCTTCAGACACCAGAGCATGGTGGTGGTGAGAACTGATGTTAGCACTAAGCTAGCACATAATCAAAACATCCAAGTTGGATTTTTCCTACTAGATTAAAGAAATACCAGAAGTTTCAACTATAAATAAAGGGTTAAAAAAAAAAGGAACAAGTTGTGACTGGATATTTGGAAACAGAGGAAATTAATTCACATTGTTCCCATGGGGGATGGGACAAGGATGACCAAGGTCACATCTGTGTTCCAAGAAAACAGTGCCACGGAGGGCTGACCTAACTGAGCACATCTGAGACCACATTCCTCTATGCACTCCCCTGCCTGGCAAGTCTAAAATAACTCCTTGCCTGATCCCCTGATTTAGTGTAGAGGAGGAGGCAAGGGGTGCACCCTTTAACCAGAGTGTGTCCTAAGAGAAACCTTGGGAATTTCAGCCTCCCTGTTCTGGGCCCTCTTACCATCCTGGTGACCTCTTCAGCCCTCTTTAGAACTGGGATGCTTGTGCCAGCCAAACAAGAGTCCAGGCTCACATCTCTCAGGGTTACTTGCATTTTAAATCTCTTCCTTGGGTCCGAAGGCCAATGCTTAGTGCAGGTTGAGAGGTCATGGAGGTACATGTCCCTACCCTTCACAGGAGGAGCCGAGGACTATAGTCCCCACAGATGACAGTCAGCACCTACCACTCTGAATGGGGAAAAGTCAGCCATGCACTCTTCTGCCCTTAGCCCCAGGCTGTGGGACAGAGCAAGGTTGTGGGACAGGGTTGCATATCTGTGTGTCTGCTAAATGGCACTTAAGAAGCATGTCCTGCCAGGGAAATGGTCAACATTTCTCTTTGTAGATTCTTGGATAGTTAAACAAGAAAAGAGAAACTATAAAATCTTGTTTGGTTGTAGAAGTTTATTTCTGTCATTTACAACTGCTTATCACTCATGCCTGAATATCATTCAATTCAATAACCATTATAAAAATTTTTAAACATGTATCAAACTAATGGCTTTTTTTCTGGGGACACAAACCTCCACTCACAAATGCATCACAGTTTACCACTCCTGTGGTTCAGCTGTGAGCAGATCCTCCCTCATCATCACTCCCAACAGTAACAACAGCAGCATGGAATTCCACTGCTACACCCAGGAATGATTCCCAGGAAAGACTGGTTGTTATTGCTCCGCCTCCAGAACCTAGGTCTGGGCTTCCATTATATTTTCCCATCATTTTTTAAATCTTTATTTGGTTGGTCTTCTAAAAAGAAATACCTTTTTGTGAAGCTAGCTGATATTTTTAAAATCCAAAAGGAAAGAAAATGAAAAACTTTACAGGGGGAAAATACATAAAGCTATTTAAAATAGCTCCCACCAACAAATATAATTCTCCATAAATAATTCCCATCCTGGGAGACTTGAATAATATTTTAAACACACTGGCTTTCCCATGTAAACACATCCATATTTGGGCATGTTTCTGAGTTCTGCAATCATTGCACGGCAAGAGCAGGGCAGTACATAGGCCAGACATCTGAGCCAAGCAGGCAGGGTTGGACGCTTGCATGGATGCCAGACATTGTGGCCCGACAATTTCTAATGGCTGATTTGCAAAGGAGAGGCCACCAAGATTCTCAGGTCAACCAGGGACTCTGGTCCAGGATTTCCTCCCTTCCTTTTGTTGTTGTTATTTTTTGTTTGTTTGTTTTTTGTATTAAATTCTTTTATTGGTACATTGTAGGTATATAACACAATTACATTTCTCATTGGGAACTGTACCTTTACATAATGCATCTTGGTTCTTATTTTTTCCCCATTCCTAGCCCTCCCTTCATGCCCATTTGTTTGTTTTTGAGACAGGGTCTTGCTATGTAGTTCAGGCTGGCCTTGAACTCACTATGTAGCCCAGGATAGTCTCAAACTTACAGCAATCCTCCTGCCTCAGCCTCCTGAGTGCTGGGATTATAAGCATCCACTACCATACCCTGCATTCATTGTTTTCTTCCTTTATTCTCCTGTCTGCCTGGATCAACATTTATGTTCCTTCACTTTTCTTATTCATCCTCACACTTTCTGACATTTCCCACCTCTTTCCTCAGAGGCCACACCACTCAGCATAGACACTTCAGTCCAGGTAACCACCTCTGTAACTTTCTTTTGTCTTTGCATGCAAGCCTCAAAGACTCCTTAAGCCACCTCTGGTTCTCTTGTTCTCTCTAGGCCTTTGGCCCCTTGTGAAACTCTGCAGATCCCTCCACTTAGCACAGACCCTGCGTTGTCAACCTACAGCTGACCTACTCTATCCTCCCACACACCCACCTCTATAAACAGTGAGCATTGCCCTATGTCCAATTCTGACATCTCTGCCCGAGTATTCTCACAGCTCCATGTGTGGAAGAAACACAGGCAGATGTCCCACCCAATGCAGAAAGCTCTCAGACTTCACAAGCAAAAGATCATGTAAGAGAATGGAGTTTTCCCTGAACTGCACCCAGGAAACAAGTACAGCAGCCATTACCATCAAATCCCATCCCTCCTATATACAAGGAAAAGAGACCATGAATGTTTGCCTCACAAAGAACAGAGATTCTTTAGTCTTCAGTCCAAGAAGTAAAGAAAACCAGAAAAGCAGGTATGTCGATCAAAGATTATTCCTAATCCTTCTGAAAGTCAACCTGTATACAGAATAGGTAACTCCAGACTGTTGTCTTTTCTAGATTATGAACACCAGAAATGTAGGCTCGGGAGGTCTCTGGTTTCTGGTGCACATTAGATGTCAGCACTCACAGTGTTTTAACAAGGGCTCCATACATGTGAGCCACTGCATGATATCCTTGTATTTCTCCATCAGTGAGGGTTCCTCTGTGCCACGTGTTAGGTATTGGAGAAAATAAGACCAGTAGTTAAAATGCTATCTTTAAGAAATCTACCCTAGTCAGCCATGATGGTGCACACCTATAATCCCAGCACTCAAGGAGGCTGGGACAGGAGGATCCCAAGTTTGAGCCCAGCCTGGGCAATTGAGCAAGATCCTGTCTCAAAAGAAAAGATAAAAAAAATGGCTGGGGACATAGGTCAGTGTGAAGTCCCTGGGTTCAATTCCCCAGTTCTGGAGAAAAAGAAAGAAATCCTTTTTTTGTTTTCTTTTGTACAGGGCATTGAACTCAGGATCTTGTGCTTACAAGGCAGGTGCAGTGCCACTGAGCTAAATCCCCAGCCCTGAAAGAAATCTATCTTAAGCAGAGGGAGAGAAACACGTCTACACAAAGAAGCAATCAGGTGTGGCAGGTCCTAAGAGCACCTAAATGAAGGAGCCTAGGGATGGTAAATGGACATACTAGTCTGAACCATCACAGAATGAAACACCACAGAGGGACAGAAACATGGACACCAGCTGAGGCCAACAGACCCACAGAGTGTTGGCCAGGTAGGACAGGACTCAGTCATGAGAGGAGATGTGAACAGGGTGGAAGAGTAGTAGAACCCAAGTGGTTCACACAGCTGAAAAGCAGGAAGAGAGGGGCCAGGGCAGGCAGAGGACAGATCCTGGGGTTCACATTACTCCTGGAGGTATGCACCCCTTCTCCTTGAGTTGAGAGGTGGCACTGTGGGTCTCAGCAAGAGAGTGAGAGGTGCAGATCAGAGTTCACTCTGGAAGCAGATGGTGGGAGGTGGCACTAGGCTGCCTTTCCTCCACTTCTGTTACTCTTGGCCGTGCTCCAACTCACATGAGCTCAAGGTAGATGGAATGGTGCCATCTCTCCTTTTCCACTCTGCCCTGCGCCCCTAGTCTCCCAGAGTATCCCTCCCATGGGGGGCCACCCTGTGCCAGCACTGATGACCAGTGGCATAGTCTGCCTCATTCTAGGGCTCAGTCACAACAGCTCCATGGACCCACAAAGAGGAGCACTTTCCTGCAGCCTACTTTTACCAAAAGAGGACCTTGGGGAACCCACCAAACAACTGTACAGGATGGGTCAGAGGCTGGAAAGAGAGACAGTCAGGAAGCTACTACGAGAGCCCATGTGAAGGGTAATGAGCTCCTGGAAAAGGGCCAGCGTGCTGGTCAGGAGGAAGCTCGAGGGCCCAAAGATGGGAGCATTCACCATGGAAGAGCCAGGGAAGATGTACATCCTAACTTACATCAAACGCACACCCTTCCCCTGCCCTGGGCTTTTCCCCTGAAGGCCACCAAAGTGGAGAAGTCCATGCTCTGCATAAACTTTGATCTCTCAAGTGCTGTAGACAGGGATTGTGTGTCTTACCCATGTACGGGGTAGGCCAGGCCGATGGGCCCCCTCCTCCATAGGGGTCCTGGGGCTTGGTGCTCAGGGCACTCGTGTGCAGAGCAGAATCGGAATTGGTCCTAAGGAGGGGAGGAGAGATCTGGGTGAAAATCCATTTTCCTTAATGACATCCAATATTCTTTGCAGAATATTACCCAAGAAAAGAAGGCAAGAATTGTGACTTTCAATCATCCACACAATGAAGGGGAGGGACCTATCTGCAGTCCCTTACTCAAAAGGTCACCACACCTAAGGAAGACTGATTTGTACTCAGCCTTCCACTTTGAGGCAGATGGCATGGTGACTGTGATTGCTTGGACAAATTAAGAACTGCCCAGCAGGTTAGTAGAGCACAATTGTGGCTGTGTCTGTAGATAACTGACATGGAGGCTGCAAGCTTCAAAGGAAAGACTGATCCTGAATGTGGGTGGCACCAACCAACAGGCTTGTAGCCTGGATAGCAGGTGCCCATTCTGCATTCTACTACCCCTAACCTACAGGCAGCCACTGTAAGCCTACCTTTTTTTTTTTCCATATTAAATCTGTTCTTCTAGTGAACCCTAACTGTTAACAATGATCTGTTTCAACCAGGTGGGCCTTGGAATCATGTCTTCCCTTTTCTTCTTCACAAGTCAGAAGACAGCTGTGACCAGGCATGATCGGTGGCTACACCAAGTTTTCTCCACCTGAGAATACCTATTTCTATGTGAAAGACCACCTAGATTGGTGGCTCTCAAACACTTTTGGGAAAAGTCAAGGTCAAGACTATTTTCAAAATAACACCACAATGTTCCTCACATAGCCTTTGTGTGCCCACAGCACGGTGGGGTTGGGTTTTCAGCACCCACATGGCCTGATACCATCCTAGACCGAGTATGAGCAGAGAAGTCAGCTGCCTTCAGGAGCTCGGAAAAGGTACAATGATGTGACTGTTGTTGGGTTTTTTTTGTTTTTTTTAAAAAATAAAATTGTGCTTCTTTAAAAGAGATATTAGTTAACATGTATGGGTTTATTGTTATTTTTTAAACACATTAGCACTCCTAAAGCAAGTTTGGGAACCGCTAATCAGTACAATTTTCTAAAACTCTCTCAGATGACTCTAGGTTATACACAGCTTTGGTTCCACAGGCAACTGTTCATTTATGTCATCTGAGGGCCAAACTGTCTGTCATAAGAAGGGTATGTGAGCAATTTTAAGTCAACTTCGTGTGACTGCTAAGCCACATTGGCTTCAGATAAGGGAAGAAGCCAGCAGTCTTAGAAGGAACACCGGCTCTGGGAGAAGACAAAGCTAAGTGCAGCAACAATGCCTCCATGGATTCAGACACTCAGATGCACATCAGTCAAATGCAGAGAACTGGAAAAGTGTGGGTAAAGATTGGTATTAGACCATGTTAAGGAATTACAGTTAATTTCGTTAAATGTAATAATGGTATTATGATTATGTTTTCTTTTCTAAGGTTCTCATCAGCCTTTTCTGTTAGAGTCACTTGCAGGTGAAACACTTTGTGGAATTAGGGTGTGAGGTAGGGGCAAGGAAGAAATGAGACTGGTAGAATGGTGACCAAGACTGAAGCTAAGGGACGCGCCTAAGGGGTTTTACACAGTGTTCTGTCTTTTGTGTATGTTTAAAATCTTGAGCTATTAAGAGTTTTTGTTTTTTTTAAATGACCAGTCCCTTTACATACTAGCTCAGAAGCCCTGAACAAGTCATGTAGCCTCATCAAAGAGAGAATGATATTCATTTCTGCAGTGTATTGAAAAAACGGATGCAGGAAGAACACTCACTTCTGGAGAATGACCCAAAATGATCATGAGAACAGCTGATATTTATTGAACACTTATGCTTCCTATGTATTATCTTATTCAGTCCTCACAACTATCCCATGAGAGACACAATTATCACCATCTTTCAGATGAGCAAAACTAAGGCATATAGAAGTTTAATCTGCTCAAGGTCATGGGTAAGCAGTGGCCTTGGTGATCATACTCCAGGCTTCATGTCCTTATACTGTGCTGCGCTAGACCCTGGACACCAGTAAATAGGGGTTTATTTTAACATTTCACATAAACACAACTGGCAAATACACTCGGCAGCTGGACAACATGTCCAGAATATCAGGACAATCAATTTACTTCCATGTACCTGTTAAGTGCAGATGTTAATCTGAACCCAGGATGCTTTTCTTCTTTCCAAAGAGTCTGCTGCCTTTAGAAACCAGAACAACATAAAAGGAAAAAAGCTCAATCTACAGGAGCAAAGGAAGACCTCAGACCTGAATCTGTGAACTGGCTCTTCTACTCATCTAGCTGCCTGACCTGAGTCACCTATAAAATGCCCCACCCCTTGCTCATTTTGCTCTTCACTGTTAAAATGAGGGCAGAATGAATGGTTTGTCAATGCCCAGCATCTCTGATTTCCAGGATAATTACCACAAATCCTAAGAACAGGACTACTTAGCTTAGGGTATATAAGGAATTAACCAACAGGCAAATAAGCACCTTTTTTTTTTTTCTGTTTTGTTTTGTGGTATCGGGAATCGAACTCTGGTCCTTGCGCTTGTGCAGCAGGCGCCAAAACCACTGAGCTAAATCCCCAGCCCCAAATAAGCACCTTTGAATGCCTTCTGAAACTGGCCAAATCTCTGACTCCTGAGGGGATTTGATGTCTTACACCAGATGTGTCAAAAACAAATCCTTCTATGCACCTTAGGTGCATGTGTATGGGCTGCCTTGGCAACCTGGATGCAAAGATTTTGCACTGTCATATGGATAGTCACAAGGAGGAAAATCGTTACACTCACCCAGGTTATGAAAATATTAATATAACCAATCCTAGTGCTTTGGAAACATAAGATACATTTTCTTGGCTATACATAAGAAAGCTATCAGTTTAGAACTAACACTTTTTTCTGATTTAAAATAAAATATTGTGTTTATTCTAAAAACATGAGTCCCAGGATTCTCAATAGCTGAAAACCTATTTAAGGTAGGGGCCAACTATTCTCCACCTCTGTGTCCTTCCCCAGCCCAGACCATATTATCTGCAGTAAGTGCTCAATCAGTATCTGCCCAAAGAATGGAAGAAAAAAAGATCCCAACCCAGAGACCTGAAGGTCTTCGAAAGATACATCACAGATACTCAGAAATCTGACCGTGTAATCTGAAAATGATACTACACACATTAATAATGTAGCCGTTCTTTTCAGCTAATTTCATAATCTGTCATCCTCTATACTGGGTTCAAAAATATTCAAAGAGACTCTAAAACACACTGCACAAATAACATTTTAGGAGCCTTTCACTCCTTGGGTAGTTTACTAAGACACCTGGAGGAAAAGGGTTTAGTTTTCCATGTCTCAAATATACATCAAAGCAAAGTATCCTATTGGTAAATGTATTCCAAATGTGCTTCTATTTGTTTTTAAATATAAAGATCTAGATTTACTTAAGTAATTTTTCACTTTATACTTTCGTATAAGCCCATGATTATACACAGAAAGACTTAAATTTTAGGAGTCAACAGATTTGGTTTTAAATTAAAAATTTCTAAAACAACATTCAAGGTAGATAAAAGTGAAACCATTAAAAAAATACATGCTCATATATTTTAAGATATCTTTGAAATACAGCTTGCTTACCTCGGCCAACTCTCATCCAGGGGCTGTGAAGAGTAATTGGCTCCAAATGTACTGCCATCAAAGTAGAATTTTTAATAAAGGAAAAATAAAATTAATGGAAACTTGAAGCAGAATTAAGAGACTGCAATTGTGAAGAGTTATACAACTGAGTTTTGGGCTCTTTATCTCTTTGCCTGACAGTTCTTCCTCGATGATTACTCTTATCAACTTCTTCAAGAGAGTCTTTCACTGTCTTCTAACCAGTGTTGCCTTTGCATAACTTATTTGGGGTGCTTTTTCTTTCTTTTTTTTTTTTTTGCCTGAACAGCATCTTTTGTTTTCCTGCTCCTGTAAAGGTGTCATTCTACGCAGGCCTCCTGTCCCATGGACGCACCCAGCCCAGTTATTTCCAGTCAGGCCACCTCATGCCCCTGGAGGCGGTGGCCGGCCCAGGGTGGGATCAGACAACCAGAACCCAGTAGAGTGCTCCCTGGGAGGAAGCAATGCCCCTGCTGGGGTGGAGACTCCACAGCTATTTCAGTCTGGGCAGCTCCCCTTAGGGAAATTTGTCTATATGTGAAGTTAACACAGATATGGCATCACAGATATAGAGTCTATGATACTACATAACTCTCTGGATCTAGTCCTTGGCTTCCAGTGACATAAGCCAATAAATTTCCTCTTTCCAAGTTCAGGTGAGTTCCTGTTACTCATCATCAAAACACAGCAGTGGATTTGTGGAGAAAAGTAAACTTCCTGGTGTTATTAAAGGCTGTTTATAAATTCTACATCAGTCATTGGGTCTAGCATAGGGTAGAACACATTCCAGATATATGTAGAACCCAAGAGAATGCTGCATGATACATTCTGAATACAGGATGCTATCTGCACTGATTTACATATTTGTACCCATAGGATTGTCTTAAGACATTTTCAGGGGGTACCAGGGACTGAAGCCAGGACCTTGTGCATATGAGGCAGGTATGGTGCCACTGAGCTAAACCCCTGGCCCATCTTAAGAAATTATTTAAATTTTTTGGTAGTACTGAGGTTTGAACCCAGGCCCCTGGCACTGAGCTAGATCGCCAGGCTTTCTTAAATAATTTAAATTTTTGAGACAGGGTCTCACTAAGTTGTCCAGGCTGGGCTTTGAACTTGCCATCTTCCTGCCTCAGCCTCCCAGAGTTCTAGGATTACAGGCATGTGCCACCACTCATGGCTCCAAGACATTTGTAATCAAATTATTCTCCTGCTAAAAAATCTTTGATGATTCTCTTCAGCCTGAAAGACAAAATCATCTTTTTGGCCTGGTAACTGTGTTCCACAATTTGGCTACAAGGCGCTGATCTGCTTTCCTCCCAACTTCAGCAGGTCTCACCTCTTCGCCTTTAATCATGTCATTTCCTCTTCCTTTCCTAGGTAGAACACAGCCTCCTCCAAGGCCTGGCTCCCTCCCTTATCACCCTCACCAAATCCACAGCCACTCTTTTAGTCTCCTATATTACTGTTAGAGAAAATATTATTTGGCAGGTACCAATAATGCTTCTGATCCCAAACCTTTTTACTTATGGTAGAAATCATATAGATGATACAAAATATACATTAGGAATGAGAAATGTGAAGATTGAGCTGGTGTGATGGACACGTCTGCAATCCCAGAGCTTGGGAGGCTGAGGCAGGAGGATCACCGTGAGTTCAAGACTAGCCTGGGCTACATTGTGAGACCCTGTCTCAAAAAAAAGAAATGTGGGGCTGGGGAGTTAGCTCAGTGGTTTCAAAAAAAACCCCAAACAAACATTTTTTAAAAATGATGAAAAAAAAGAAATGTGAAGGGCTGGGATCTAGCTCAATGGTGCCAGACCTACCTTGCAAGTGCATTCAATCCCTGGTACTAGAAAAAAAACAAAATGTGAAAAATGGGTATAAGCACCTACTATGTGTCAGCCCTGTCCTGGTGAGTCTGTACTCTCATTTCATTTTAACAACAATCCTGGAAGGCAGATGACATTATCCCCCATTTTACAGCTGGAAAAACTGAGGATCAGTCCTAGAAGAGTCAACAAATCCAAGATCACACAACTGGAATGGCAGGTCAGGGTCACAGCCAGCTCACTGATGCCAAAGCTCAGAGCTCTGCACCAGTCATGTTGCTTCTCAGAAATTGGGGCATTAGCCCCAGGTGCCCCCAAAACAGCAAATATTTCTGAATATTTTCAGAAGAGGCGGGGCTAGAAAAGAAAGGCCTAATGGCTTGGCTTAGGAAGAAATGGGACCTAGCCTACAGGCTTGGGCCAGACATCTCAAGTGGCTACAGAACCTGGAATTAGCAAACCTGGGCATGAATGAGATCTTATAGATTTAGTGTAAACCATTTCCTTTGCCAGAACCATTAGGACTGTAAATTTCATCTAAAATTTACTTTCTGTCTTGAGCCAGCACAAAACAGAAGTATTTTCCAGGGAGATATTTCTTCAACTTTAACTATTAGGCTTAATGTACATGAGGTACAGATTAGAATATAATCAAAAGAAAAAGACACAAAAGAAAAAGGTGATAAAGAAATAAGAAGGCCCTTGCAATATGAAACAGATCAGTATTTTAGTTGGCAAAGCCTTTAGGGAGGAGGCACTGAATCTCACAACCTGTGGTTATCTGCCTTTCTTTTTTCTGCAGGACTGGATGAATCTCTGCCCAGTAAAGCACATTTCATGAAGCAGCTCTTTACCATTTTTCTCAGTGCACTGCCATCCTTAAAGTCATAAAGTCTCATTATATACTACATTCAAATGAGAAGGAAGTGATATAGTGGTAATATAATGGTCAAACACTGGTATTTCAATGTTGATGCATAAGACAGCACTTTAACCTTCCTGGTTTGTATTAACAGTAAGAAAATGCAGTAAATTCCCGAAATTTTACACATGATTATTCTGAGATATCAAAAGTTAAAAGCACTCTCTTATTTCTTGTCTTATCTAATCTGGTGAATTTTCTAAAACCTAAGAACTGTAGGCATCAAGAGACCCCACTAATATTATAAGCTTACAATTAAATTCAACAAGAGGAAAATCTAGACAAGGTTTCTTTCCGTTCTTTTGAAAGAGTTCAGAAAACTATACTCAGGTAGGTATAAATTACTCCTTCAAACCAGAATGACCTCAAGGCAGAAAACACCTTCATCTGTAAACTTGAATTTGCTGTTTAATTCAACAAGCAATTCTGGAATGCCTGCTAGGTGAGAGCATACAAGCAGAAGAGATCTGCCACATAGAGTCTTTAACAAGCCACAATGATCCTACGCTCCTCCTGGGGTAGACTACCTGGGCCAAAAAACAAGAGACAATGAAAAAGAAAAGCAAGAAAGAGGTGGCTGCAGTGGATGGAAACAGAAAGGTCCAGGCTACCACAGCTCCTTCACAGGCTCCGCTCCTCTGTGGCCATCAGGATGCGTCTTGGTTCTGAGCCCTCACATCCTCAGCTCACAGCTGCTTGACCTGCTCTCCCAGGGACCGGATGGAAAGAAAGGAGTCAAAGTCACCAAGTAACAGGCAGAGTAGGAGCAGCGAGATGAGCCTCTCCCTGGGCACAGATGTGCTAGGAAGAGCATCCCAGGAGACTGACAGTGGCCCTCCCTCAAGCAGAGAAGCCAGGCCATCATGCTCACCGTGGTCAACACCAGCCTTGCCTTGGCTCCAGTCCAGCTACTCACAAATCCATGTCTCCAGCTTCCAATAGTTCTTGTGAACCCTAAGCTACTATTTCCAACTCTCCACTTAGGTTCTCCTCCAAAAGTATACCAGACACCCAAGATTCCCTCTAAAATCAAATAGATCACCCCTCATCCTCTCATCCACCATCTGCCCCTCATACTTCACCTTATTTAAGGAGAGGCCTTCAACCTACATGCTCAGTTGGGGTCTCAGAGTCATCCTGGTCTGTCCTCTCTCCATAGTAGTTATCAGGGAGAGTTCAATCCATCGACAATGGGGATCTAAGGCCTCACAACTCACAAACCAGGGAGTGCCACAAGGGACAGTCCTCATTTCTTCCCTGGACAAAGCAGAACAGCTCTTCTTTGATGTCAGAGGACATCTGTTAGCCAGTTACCCACAGAGTAACTGAGCCACAGAAGCATAAAAGTCCCACCTGGTCTTTTTGTGCTGCCAGACTTGGCTGGTTGTACAGGGCAGGGTTCTTCTCTTGGCTTCCTGTCTCTGTGCAGCAAGCACACCTAGGCAGGGAGCATGGTGGCTTGTCATTTTCTCTCTCATCCTGTCAGCCACTATGTGCTGCCAGGACAGTGTGCGGGACAGGCCTGTAACCTTCCATGCAGCTAGTGAGTTAAGGGGACTTAGAGACTGCTTGATAGGACTCATCTACCCACACATATTCTTGGGTCAGATTTTATATGTAAAACTGCTCACAACGTGACTCCTTCCTAATGTCTCAGCCAGGTCTTGACTGTTACCCTTAAACTCTAATTATGTCTCTGCAAAATGCACCCCCCCCCAGTATCACGGATAGAACTCAGGACCTTGTGCTTGTGAGGCAGCCGCAGTGCCACTGAGCTAAATCCCCAGCCCTTCTGCAAAATACATTTTAAAGTTAAATTTAAGAGAGGTAGGTATATGACTGGGATCTGTTTGAGTCTTTTTGTCTGTTTCTCTCAATATATTGAGGCAAACAGGTTGCATGTGTAATATTTCTTTCTTAAAATTCTAAGGACTAGGGCTGGGGATTTAGCTCAGTGATTCTGCCACCTGCCTCGCAAGCACAAGGACCCGAGTTCAATCCCTGGTACCAAAAAAAAAAAATTCTAAGGACCAGTATTTCCTTATCCTTCAAGATGATATGGGTGTTGAGTTTTGTGATCACATAGATTTTGGAAATTCTGGGTTAAAGGTAGGAAGCTTATTTAGTATAACTGTCTTATGTGTTTTATATGTTTTTGACGTTAGTCTAGCTGTTAATCTGCATATATGTTAATTTGTATATATGATAATTAACTTTATCAGGACTTACAAATAAATGAATCTAATGCTGGCCAAAAAGGGGGGAAGTGGGGGGAAAGGGGAAAAAAAGGAATTGAGATGTGTTATGTACATGTACCAATTCCTCACAATGAAAGTAATCATTATGTACTGCAAACATGTACTAATAAAATAAAAATTTTTTTAAAGGTAGGAAGTGTCTTACCTGCAGAGCTTCTCCAAGCACCACAATGCACTGTGAGGCTCCAAAAGGGGAAAGAGAACACAATATTTCTCAAATTTAATAGGCCATGCATGTCAAGAAACAGTGTCCTACAAATCTGTGCTCTAAAATTTAGAAGCAAGGCCCACTCCAGAGAGGAGGATCCTCCCTAACTCTGGCATGTCTTTAGGGCCATTCACACTAGTGAGCTCTCCATTTGTTAGGAAACTTCCTAAACATTTATTTTTCTGCCTTTCAAAATACAGATCACTTTTAGAAGAAGGCACTGTCTGTGATTCTTTAGTTTGTCCTCTTCTTTTTCAATGCATTACCCATGGGTCTGAGAAAATATTTCATTTGCTGTAAACTTCTGAAAATAGTTCAGAAACTCAACAAGATAGCTTTGGGGATAAATCACATTTGCTGCCCTTGAGAGCGAGGAGTGAGCAGGGCTGCTAAAGGCATGGGCACTACGGGAAGGTTCATGAGCTTCTACTCCAAGCTCCCTGCCCAGGCCCCTACCTGAAACAAGCACTGGCAGCTCTGTTCCCCTGCCTATATATGGGGATGGGGCCTAGAGCTGCTAGCACCGTCGTCTTGGTTGTGGCCACTGCCTGTGCCAACAGCACAACCCACTGCCCCAGCAATCTGCAGTGTGGCTGCCCACTGCCAAAGGAATCTCTGTGCCCGAGCTCTGCCTGCTGGGCTGCCCACTCTGAGAGGAAGCTTGAGTATGTGCTGAACAATGTCTGTTTTATGTGGGATCAATGTACCCCCAGGCTGAGCTCTTATCTAAGCCCATCCTAAAATCATGCTCAAGCCAAGAAATAACTGTAAACAAGAGAATTTGATATACATCTTTTCTGTTTGTACCAATAGAATTCAAACCAGTTTTCATACTTTTAAACAATAAAACTTCATAAAAAGGTAACAGACAGGGCTGGGGATTTAGCTCAGTGGTTCTGGCGTCTGCCATGCAAGCTCAAGGACCCGAGTTCGATCTCTGGTACCAAAAAACAAAAAAACATAATAGACAAATGTGAAAAGTAACAATTTTAAGCAAATTATTTCAAAACAAACAGAATACAGGTCATGAAAGAAAAGGACTCAGTTCTCCCCCTCTAAGTTCTCTTGAATAAATAACACCTCCAATGTAAAATCACCCCACATTTATATTTTGTTGGGGTGCATGGTTCCTTGATTCCTCAAGAGGGACTCACTGCTTCATTTGTGGGCATCCATGGGCTGAAGGACTTTTTCTGCATCGATATCCAGTGCCAGGACCCCAATTAGGGCTTAAAGAGGAGACCACAGAAAGACAGCTCATGATCTGAGTCAGACTCACACTCTGGTGAAGAACTTTATCTGTGCATTCATTTGGAGTGACGAGGTTTGCTGATGCTCTCACAAGCTGGCTCAGTCAGAGACAAGGTCCCCTGAACACACACTGCCATCTCCTCTGTTGGGTCTGTGCATACTCCAAACCCTCTGTCACAGCACTCCCTTCCCAGCTGCCTACTCTCAGGATCATAATTCACCCTCTAAGGTAACTTTCCTCAATTATTTTTGCCTTTTTGCTGTCTGTTATCTCCCAAAAGGAGTATAAACTCAAGAAGGTAGGACAATGTCCCTCCAGGCACCTTCTCTGTTCCCAAGACGGGCTTGAGTGGCCCCTCCTATGTGCCCACCCCACACCAAGGTGTCTTGGCCCCTGACACCATGTGTGTGACCACTTCTGGCTTTAGCCTCTTTCATTTGACAAGAAGCAACAGGAAGACAGGGGCCATGGAAGTCTGCTGTCATGTTTACAAGGTCTAAGACATTGCCTGGCCACTAGTAGATACTTCACAAATAGTTTTTAAGTAAATAAACAACTCCTTTCTCTTTTCTTCAATTCCTCCATCCTCTACTCCTTTCATTATTTTTTTTTTCCACCCAAGGCAAGGCTTTATTAGGGAAAGAGCTGCCAGGATGCCTTTAACAATGGCAAGAGAGCTCCTTTCGTTATTAAAGCTGTATGTGTGTGTGTCTACATTTAAGCTATACTTACTTCAAAAAGTATCTATGATGGTCATGTATATAGTACACATCTCTATATATAATACACATAGTAAAATATATAATATAGAGAGCCTTGAAAAGAGAAAGAAGGAACTGAGAAATTGAAAAAAGGTATATTATTAAATCAAGAAAAGGAACATTGACTTTTGTTTGAAAATTTCAAGCAATTAAGAAAAGGCGAGTTAACTGAATTGCTTCAATCCTCTTTTACCTTTTGCATTGCGTCCAAGTTATCACACATTCCAAAAAGGAATTCTCAAGATCACTTACCACCTTCATTCTTCCTAAAAATGGCCACATGAAGTACAAAACTACAAAGCAGGCATTTCTGTGGACCAAATATAGTGTCTCAGGCAGGAGAGAGGACAGAAATCAACAGTTCCCAGAGTCCTCATCCTCACCTCAGGGCTTTCTCTGTGTGCCTCTCACAACTTCTCACATGGGGTCTCTGTGTCCATGGCCCTCATCACGCCTAAGGAGTATACAGTGTGGCATAGGAAGCCAGGTTGCAGACTGGGTTGTCAGGGGCCTGGACCAAGCCCAGCCTCCTCAGGCCACGGCAGCAAAACCCTGAGCAGTCACTGCTGCTCAGTTTCCTCAAGGGAAGATGAAAGTTAACAAAATAGATGACTCAGTGAGTTCTGAGGACTAAATGACATATCACTTGCTCAGCACAGTGCTTGGCATGGGTAGGTGCTCAGTAAACACCAGCGCCCTCCCCCATTTCCTTCTCTGGGCTGTGAAGCCAGCTTTGCCATCACTGCCAGGAATTCAGTCTCTTCAGGGAGACATGCCACGCCTTCTCCTCCTTCCTCCACCCTGCTGTGTGCCGAGAAGGGTGAAGTGAGAGCAAAGGGCCCTTGGCATACCTCTGGATCCTCTCCCATGACATCCAGCTCAGTTCTGTGTCCCCAGTGCCCTCAGCTCTAAGCTTGTCACACAGCAGTGATCCCACCCCCACCCCAGCATCCTGCTCCTCCACTTCCTAACCTGCAATGGTTAAATAAAACTGTCAGATTAATTCAGTCTCCTTTTCTTTATTGTTACTTAGCAACACAGAGTTTGTATACATCATTAGATTAGAATTTCCCTAAATTCCAAGTTTATATTTTGATTGTCATTTATTGAGTATGAAACTCTACAAATAGAAAATCGTAGGAGATCTCATCTTTAAGTTCCCAAAACCAGGTCAGCAGGTCAACAGAAATAAAAATAAATCACAAATCTGTCTATCCACTTTTGCTCAATAGAAGAAATCTAACTTGATTCAAGGTCGGGCTTAACTCTGACTTTGCCGATTTCTGAAATCAATGTTGAAATGCCTGATGATGAAGCTGAATTACATGTTTATATTCGGTTATCTCATTAAACTCAACTTTATCAATGCTTTCATAAAGCAAACACCCATAACAATCTTTCCAGATTTGACCATAGAGATGTTTCTAGTTTTGAGCTCTAATTACTTTTATTGCCTCCATTCATCAGATAAAATGAAGATGTCAAGGAGGATAAATTGCGAAAACCTTTCAAACACTCAGAACTTACGCTGCCCTCAGACAGTGAAAAGGATATCTGTCGCCCAGGCTTGTCTGCGGGCCTTCGGTGCAGCGGGTGGAAGCGGCTCCTCGCTGCCCTCTCCACCAGCCCATGGTGCCGGGTTCCACGGACCGTGTCAGCCTGGTGAAATGATGGCTACAGAAGAAAGAAAGAAGAGTTGGTCTCTGACCACGAAACTGCCACTAACTCTCAAGAACAACCACTGGTAACAACAGATGAAAAGACGAGTTATAATTCTATGGTGTATTAGTGTGCCATGGGTCAAGGGAAATAAAATAATATAGCATGTGGCACAGTTTCTATGTAATTACAAAATAATTTAAAAATAGTTTTTCATGTGTTAAGATGAAAGAATGTTTCATAAAAGTTGTCACAGAGCTAGGTGTAGTGGCACAGTTGAGTTCAGTAGGGAAAGCTTGTAATTCTAGCACTTTGGTAGGCTGAGCCAGAAGGATTGCAAGTTCAACCCCAGCCTGGGAAATCTGGCAACCTAGTGATACTCTACATCAAAATAAAAATTTAAAAAGGGCTGGGATGTAACTCAGAGCAAAGGCCCAGGGTTCACTCCCTAGTATTGATCAAAAAAAAAAAAAAAGTTACCACCATTAGGATGGAGAATTGGAGAACTATGGATTCATATACCAAATCCCAAAAACTAGGAAGAATACTTGAAATATAAAAGAGGTATGTTTAAAATAGAAATAAACTGGCAATCTGTTCAGTGTGTAGAGTGTCTTTTAAAAGTTTTGGCTGGATTCACAATGTTAAAATTCAGATTTGAGGCTCCTAGGGAAAAGCTAGAAGAGCCTGGCCATACTGGTCCACGTTCCCACACAACAACAGCTGCTTTTAGAGATGGGACACTCACTTGTCTTGCTGTTCTGTTTTGTTTTGTTTTGTTTTCTGGTACTGAGGATTGAACCCCAGGCCTCACATGTGCTAGACGAGCATTCTATCACTGAGTTACACCCCCAGTCCTTTTTAAATTTTTATTATGAGATAGGGTCTCGTTAAGTTGCCAAGGCAGGACTCAAACTTGCAATCCTCTTGCCTCAGCCTTGTGAGTAGCTGGGACACAGACATGTGCCACTGTGCCCAGGTTCACTCTCTTGTTTTTAATACTTTACACCCAGATCACTTCACTGACTCATAATGTAAGACATCTGAGTTTGCAACCCTTGAGTTAAGGAGGAGAAAAGGGACATTACCCAAATGTGCGTGGAAAACATGTAACTCATTGTTTCCCAAAGGTACAAATAGAAATACAAACGCATTAGAGATAAGTGCATGGTTAAACAAATCCAAAATCCTTTGTTCAATAGGGCTTGCTGTACATTCTTGACATTTTTGAGACTGCATCATTAAGGGCTGCCTTTATGGTTGTCAGAGATGAATTCTAGGTTGGACCACTAAATATCACATAACTGGGCAATGTGTATAGAATATTATGTAATAGATGTGTTTGTTAAATATATGAAAACAGGTATTTCTCTACCCTCTCCATTTCATTAAGGTATAACTCAAAAATAAAAATTGTATGTATTTACAGTATACAATGTGATGTTTTGAGATATATATAATATATCTATATTGAGATGAATAGATCCAGTGAATTAACATTCGATCAGCATACAAACTTTTAAAAACAAATTTTCTTTTAAGTTGAGTCATTTATAAAATAGCTAGCTTTCTATGACTGAGTATACTTTTATACTTTAGCTACCAACTTATCACTAATGTTTCTTTGTTAAACATATATGGATTTTTACCATATTGGATTTGGGAATCACTCTTATTTCATTAGGCTAATTTAGTTTAGCAGTTCCCATCTGTTTTTATAATCCGAATTTATAAACTTATAAAAAATAAAGAGATCTTAGCAAGGAAAAACTTCTGGGCTAAAAGAAAAAGATCAGTATAATAGGTAAGCTGGATTCAGTCTCAGATAATAAGAGTACAGTATTCGAGGGAGTGAAAAATTGAAATGCCTAAAAAATAATGGGACAAACTGAGGACAGGGGCTTCCAGGAATGAGGCAATGAGACGCTTGCAGCACTGTTAATAGAGTAGGAACTCTGTCAGCATTAGACAGGCCCCCACTGAGGGATAGCTACAAAAGAAATGGCCCATCCTCTCTCCAAATATCAACCATAAAAGACCAAGAGCAAAAACAATCCCAAGGAAATAGACTGAAGGAGATGAGAGAGCTATGGCATGCTATTGATGATGATATTGGCATAGTCAGCAAATCTCAAATACGGTCTATATCAATGATGGCAAACCTTTCAGAGCTTTCAACGATACAAACAGCCCACTGTGGTATGTGTGCTGTAGTTTGGCCACCACTGGTCTATACGACTGATGATAATGTGTCAATTTAAATTTCTTTAATCTGAGCATTATAATGTGGCTACGATTATAAAATAGAGTTCCTTGTCCACAAGAGTCACAGAAAATGAGGAAATGTAACATATATACACAAATTATACAAAGGAAACAAAAAATGTGGCAAAATGTTAACAATTAGTGAATTTAAGAGAGCATATACACAAATTCACTATTCATTTTTGTAAGCTTTGAAATTTTTTCAAAATAAAAAGCTTGTTAAATCTCAAACCTGATAATAAAGGTATACATCTTGAAGAAGGACTCTTAACTTACTTCTGAAATAAGAATGATGTCGAATATATCTTTAGATTGACTTTTTAAGAACACCCAAAAAATATGATCACTGGATTTGGGATGTGGCCCTGTGACAGAGTGTTTGCCTTTGCGAAGCTCTGTCCAATCTCCAGTATCACACACACACACACACACACACAAAATCACTACTTCGTGTTACTTTTAAAATTATTAAAAAATTATCCTGATAAAAACAAAAACCACATTATTGCCTGGCACAAATATTATATACTCTTTAGACTTCCTTCCATATAAAATTTATTCTTTTATAATTCTAGTTCTATAGGACCCCAGTAATGAATGCTGAATGAATGGGTATGAACTGCTTAATGATTTTATATGCTCATATGTTATATTTCAGGAAATATGACTTAAGAATATATAAAAATAAACAGCTACTATTAATACAAAAACAAATATATGGAAATACTTTTGTTAATCAACAGGATCATGCCCACAGCATATTTTATTGTCAGAAACCTGACCATCATCCAGTATAGAATTAATTTTAGGAGACAGATGTCTTTGTGCTAAGAAAAAAAGACAATATAATATATCAATATAATGTATTTTCTATAATAATCTTTTTTTTTTGGTACCAGGGATCGAACTCAGGTCCTTGAGCTTTCGAGGCAGGCGGCAGAACCACTGAGCTAAATCCCCGGCCCCTCTATAATAATCTTAAATGTACTTGAAACATAAAAAATTTCACTGAGGCATCATAGATAACAGTCATTATCAGTTAGCTCTGGGAGGCCAGCTTACAGGGACTCTAGGTGAGGGTCTTCAAAAGGGGTCCCCAGAGCAGAGAGCTCTTGAAATGTCTTACTAGTATGCCTGCATTTTCTGTTAACAACTGTCTCTTTAGTATGAGCTTTTGCTGGCTCAAATCTATTATTGCTACTTAGACTGGGAGAGGGGGTAGGGGGTAATCTCTGCCTCTGCTGACATTTGGTATTTTCTTCTCTTTCTCACCATGGCACAACCTTAGCAGCCACAACTCTGTCCCTGTAGTACTTGATATTAATGCAACTCTAACTGTATTTAGCTTTAGCCTTCTCAATTTACAGAGACCTGCCCTGCTCAACAAATGAGCTGGAGCAATTGTTAAGCCAGAGAAGCACGGCAAGTAAAGAGGCCAGGGTTGGGGCCAGGGATTTAGCTCAGTGGCACCATGCCTGCCTCGTAAGCACAAGGTCCTAACTTCAATCCCCGTACCAAAAAAAAAAGAGGCCAGGGCTATCTGGGCATAATGGCGCATGTCTATGATCCCAACTACTTGTGAAGTTGAGGCAGGAAGATCCCAAGCTCAAGGCCAGCCTGGGCAACTTAGTTCCTGTTTCAAAATAAAATAATAAGGGCTGGACGCCAGGCATGGTGGTACACGCCTGTAATCCCAGCACTTGGGAGGCTGAGGCAGAAGGATCACTGAAAGTTTGAGGCCAGCCTGGGCTACATAGTGAGTTCAGAGCCAACCTGAACTACAAAGCAAGTCCCTGTCTCAAAAAAAAAGAAAGGCTGGGGATGTAGCTCAATGCTCCCTGGGTTCAATCTCTAATGCCAAAAAAGAAATACAATACAATAAAAATGAGATCACGTCTGAGGGTGTAGCTCAGTGGTAGGGCACTTTCCTACCATGAGTAGGCCCTGGGTTAGATCTCTTGAACCGCAAGAAAGAAAAGAAAAAGAGTGAAGAGTGAAGAAGCTGTTCAGCAATACAGTGGTCTAAGTCTCTGCGTTCCAAACTCTAGACAGACACATGGTTCCCCTACTCCTACCAACTTTCACTCTCTTATTCACTGAGAACTGAAATTCTTTTATTTAAAAATGTATTGTTAACTTTCCTCTCCCTCTCTCTCTCTCTCTCTCTCTCTCTGTGTGTGTGTGTGTGTGTGTGTGTATTCTCTTTTGACAGGGTCTTTCTGTGTAGTTCAGGCTGACCTTGGCTGGCCTCGAACACTCAGCGATGCTTCTGGGTCAGCCTCCCAATTGCTTGGATTATAGGCATGTGCTACCATGCCTGGCTCTAACTCCTTGGAAGGCTTGTTGGGAAAATGAAATCATGTATGTGAAGCTGCTCTGACTTAGGGATACCTAGGGACTGGGAGGAAGAGTGGATGGCCAGGTTGTGACATACTGGAAAGCATCATATTAAAGGTCACCCTGCAGAGTCCCTTTGTGCTCAAGAGGAGCAGCATTGTTAGGGGCTTCCTCAGAACACAGAGCCTCACAAAGTCTGTTCAGAGGACCTAACTCTGTACAAGGTCCCACCTGTTGCTCACACCATGTCACCTCTAACAGCTATAGCATAGGCAAATGGCTATTTAAAAAAAAGCTGAATAGGCCGGGGATTTAGCTCAATGGTTCCACCGCCTGCCTCGCAAGCGCAAGGTCCCCAGTTCAATCCCCGGTACCAAAAAAAAAGCTGAATGGGTCATGTGACTTGCAGTGGT